TCCTGCTACTCGATTACACGGTGTCTTTACAAATGAGAACCAGTTTCTTTCTCTCAGGGAGGTTGCAGAGAAAATCTGAAATGAAAAAAAAACCAACCCAAACAACAAAGCAGAGATGTGGGACAGGATTCATCACAGAGCAGGACTCACACCGAACTTTTCCAGCCTTCATTACCCCAGTGGAAGGTCTCAGAAGGACTTTAGCAGCTACTGGCTGGGAGTGTCAAGCAGTTTGTGCTCCAAAATCCAGATGAATGTTTAAACATTAAATACAACTATACACAGCACAGAGGGCTTAACATATTTTCAATTTCATTTTAATTTTTAGACTAAAAATGCCCTGTCAGAATTTCCCCATCTTTCGTTTCTTCCCTCTCTCCCACCTCAAATTAATATGGAATCTTTGTAAGAACAGTACTATTTCTCTCCACACCTCCAGAGTGCACCCTTTTTGGTGTGCTCACCAACTTCTCCATCCATTAAAAGACAGGCTTCCCATAAAGATTACAATTAGCCTTTGAATATCAACATTTTCTACTAATGCAGCAGTTTTTACAATGGGAGGGACTCTGTGATGCCATATCCATTTTAAACTAATTTCTAGATAGAATTTTGACTCTGGACCTAGCTCAAATATATGAGAACTAAACTTAAAAAGCCAAATGAGTAAAATTATTGAAATGACAGCTCAGTTAGTGAGGAGAATTAATCAAGTTTCAAAATTTTATTAGGTCCTCCCTTCAACCTGGAGCTCAGATTACTCTGCTCTACCTCCAGACTCATAGTTTTGTGTCACACTACTTCACCTACCAAAAGCAGCAGATGCTTCCTTTCCAATCCAGTAGGTGAAGAGTTGTACTCAGCTGAGACATTTTAAAGGTCCTTCTGGTCAGCTGCTTGGTTCTGGACAACCAGTTTCCCAGGTACATTCCAGAGTTTTTTTTAAACTGCAGTAATGGAAAGTGAACTAGCTCAGCTCCAGACCTCCTGGCACAGAAAGTTACTGCCTTGCCCTGCCAGCCATGCACGTGTCTTCCAAGCAGTAATTAGTTGTTTGACCACACACATTTCATACACTCACCTAACATACAGATGGATTTGCTTTTCATTCCAAAAAGGCTACTGCTATCAGACTGAATTTCAATCTAGCTGTTAGAAACATGTTGTTGCTCTTGCAGTGGTTTATCACAGGAAAACAGCAGTTCCTTATCATCTACGTGCTGAGTTTGAGTACTTGGGAAAATCTGCATTTTCATACCATGACAAACCAGTTCTCCAGTTTCTGCTGTTTCAGCTATTTTTTTGCTGTCCTCTGATTGCCTGTAATCACTTTCCAGTCAGTAGCATCATGGGAAGCCTTACAGTTTCATTATTCACTAGAAGAACTAGCAGTTATTTCTCTTTTTTCCTATAACATCATAGCTCCCTCAGGAGTAAACTGGAACCACACACAGGAAGAAGGGAGATTTTGCTGTTAACCAATTCGTTGCCATTGCTATTGAAAGCTTAAAAGGCTTAAAAACTTAAAACAAAAACAAGAACTTGGAGTAGTCCAGTGACTTAACACCTGGAATTTCAAAATGGGTTTTTAAGATTCAGAAATACAATTAAAAAGTAAACGCCTGCCTTGGGAAATGTTTAAAGCTGGAGCATGTCCTCTAGGTGGTGCTGACACCCCGCTATTCCATCAAGCTAAGGCATCTGCCAGGTTTACTAAAACTGTGTTCTGGTCCATGCCCTTTGGCAGTTACCTTCAGGCACGTGGACTGCAAGTTTAGCACTTGAATTTCTGCAGATTCCTTCCTGTAACGTGGTGCGTTTAAATCTGTAACCATGAAGAAATAATTTAACTCCCTCTTCGGTAAAGGGAAAACAGCCAAGTACACAGCAAGTGAAGATGGGCAAGACAGCACGTAGGAAGCCAGAGCATCCAAATAATTTCAGGGACCACAGTTCAGGTCTCAACAGGCAGTGAGAAGAAATGTAAGATTTTTATGAAAATAATTAGAGGGTAACAAAGATGAAAGCTGAGCAGCAGAGATGCGTGCAACAAGATAGATGAACTAGAAATGGTATTTTCAGCTCCTTTAAATAAATGTGAGTTGCAGCCAGGAACTGCATTTTGTTGCAACATGAATAACTAGGGAGAACAAACTGTATTGCTGTACATGGATTAGCACCTAACTTGGTATCCCAAGGACCTTACTCAAACAGCAGCTCCCTATAGCTCAGTCAAAGCTGCTTTGGGAACTTGAGATGTTAAAGCTGAAAATGTCTATTTTAAACGGAGATGGACTACCAAAGGTACAACAACTACATACACCCTGCCAACAGCCCTTTTGCAACTGGGCAAAACAGAAGCTTCAAGACAGTGCAGTGGCTCCTCCAGTCACAACCTGGCTGGGGCAAGAGCATGCACATTCTGATACCAGCTTTACCAAAGGAAGAAGCAGACTTGGGAAATGCAGTCACACTCAAGTGAGATCCTACTGTCTGATGTACACATAGTGAGGTGCTCCCAGCTGTCATAAAGGTGCTGTTATTTCAGGAAAGCACTTCTGAGAGGGAAATCATTCTGCAACAGTATCATGTAAAAAATAAATAAACAAAGCATGTTACATTTTGTTGTGGGTTTTTTCCCCTTCCAGATAGTGCTTCCCAATGGTTCACTCAGCATTACTGTGCATCATCTCTTCTATTATTTAGAAACAGACCTGATTGACTTCTCTTGCCTAACATTTAAAAAATCCACAGAAGAAACAGAGAAAAGTAAAACAAAACCAGCTCGTCATGTTTGATTTCTCTTTGATTTTCTTAGGCTACCCAATCTGATCAGGTTTGAAGAATTAAAGATACATTATGGCTGGATAAGGCATGATCTGACCCCTTGTATGCTTATGTTGTTCTAATAAAACAACATGGTGGAAGGAAACTCAAGTCAGATGTTATTTTAAGTTACCCAAACTGATTTATTGACAATTTAAATGTGACATATTTACAGCACTGTTTCTAAAATAATTTAACAATTTTCATAGATTTATAAAAGTACTGATAAATAGGAGACCCTGACCATTACCAACCACAAATATTTCCCTATGCTACTGAACTACAACAGTAGTTCTTTTCTTTTTTTTCCCCCCCCTGCCTCTTTTTATAAGTCCCATAATGGAGCTGCTTTACCTCCACCCAATGTGTAAAATTGCCAAATACCAAAATATAATAAAATGAACATGCAGTGTGAAAGCTGTACCAGAGAAGTGATTTTCAGATGTTAGACTACAGTAAAAATATTTCAATGCAAAGTGTCTTCCACACAGAATGTACTTGTGAAAAAATAAGCTTTTAAAGAGCTATTGTTTAATCTTTATAGAAGTTAAAACCTACAATACTAGTTCAGACATTTACAGTAACTTCCACTTCTGTGCTAGTTTTCACATATATGTAAAGAGTCAAACAAAACCAGTAATTTACAAACACCACTGTCTCTAAGACAGTGGTTAGTTAGCTTATGGATAAAGAAAAATAAAAGGTGCTGACATAATTTAAGGTCTTGAAATTGGATTATCTTTCATTGTTATATGACACCAATTATTCTAGCCTTGGATCAACAAATTATTGTGGTAAAGCCATCCATATCTCTCAAGCAGGAAGTCAGTTTGGAAGTTGGAGAGAAGGTGGACTTGTCTGATATGTATCTTAGGTTACAGTGGACAAAACACAGTATGGCAAAGCTGGACAACCTGAATCACAGTAAGCAGCAGCATGAGATATTTGTGGGGTTTTGATTAAAGCAAACATTTTTCAAAAAGATGAAAAGTACACAACCTTATCCAATACTTGAAATGTAAAGGTTCTTTTCATTTGCACCTCTGAAGCCCCAGAACACAAACAACAATTATTCATTTTTTTAAAAAAACACATATATTGCACAGCTAGTAGGTGCAATACCAGAACACTGGTATCCATAGCCTAAGGTTTCTATTTTAAACAGCTGTTCCACACTATTCAGAACAACTCCAAGCCAACATTCAAAACCATTAAGAATGGTTTGTGTACATAACCGATCCAAAAGTGTTTCAACAACGTGAGGAAAAAACACAGGCACTTAAGATTATTAGTGCACCAAAAGTTAGAGGCCACAACTGCATGACTATGAACAGTTCAGTACCAATCATGACAAAACCAAACGAGGAGCTCTTCCACTGATCCACCCTAGAAACAAGAACTGCTCACAAAGCCCTGACAAGAGAACCATTCTCAAAACAGTCACCAAACAATACATTTAGAAAAAAAATAATTGCTTCAAAGCCTAATGTAATACAACATAAACTCTGCTTGGTTCAAAAGGTCTAAAGTGTCCAAAATCAAAAGTCCAATTTCTCTTCTCCCCCCCTCCAAAACACCATTACATGCAGTCCATGAAAATCCACGTGTGCAAAGAGTTACAACCCACCTTTAGGAGTGCATCAAAAAATAGGCTGACTATTCAAAATATTATTTTAGTGGAAACTTTACAGCACCATAATTGGAATTCCAAGGGAGTTCAGAATTCTTGTTCTGATAACAAATCAGTTGACACTGTTGACCCTAAAGAACAGAAGAAACATTTTGTGCATTTCCTGGTATCTGAAAGTCACGGAGAGAAGCAATTCTCACCTGTGCCTAAAATCTTACTGTAGTTCAATATGAAATAATCACATTTGTTGGCAATTAGTTCTCCACAATATAGCACTAGTTGTAAATTTGTTAAGTTTGCCAGATTAGGAATGACAAGTTGCTGGTACTTTGCAGAAGTACTTTATGTCTTTTGATTACATTTTTTTTTTTTTTAAACTTGTGCAGTTTGGCCCTCTCTCCTAAGTGATTTACTATCAGGCTTTGAGGAAACGTGTAAGGTCCATTTCTGACCTTCAGCTGAAAGGCAACATAAAATGGGTTATATATACACGTGTGCACAAACACACACACATATATAAAAATCAGTATTCTGGTGGTTGCTTTTTTTTGTTCTCATTTCCTATCATTTTCTTTGGTTCAAAGTCCAAGCAAGGAAATTAGAGGACCGAACAAATGGATCATTCTCCAAACACTTCCATCACTACACGTCACTAACTGGAAGGCTTGCATCATCCAGATCCACAAGGCCAGGATCCTGTTCCTGAGTGCCATTCTTCCTTCGGGGTTCCCAGAGGTCCCTTTCAGTCACTTTGGAAGCTGATTCTCTTGGAGCGACAACCTGGATCTTGTAGCTCCCTGGCTTGGCCTTGGTAAAAGATTCGTGAAATCCTCGCTTCTCCAAGGCAGGGTATTTGGTGTGAGTGTTTGGGACCAGAGGGCTGCTGTGAGGGGCTGTGGAATGTGAGGGGGCTGGGGCTGGGAAGGCAGAACGGAGAGCATGGTTGGGTTCGGAAGAAGACTCGGGATGCTCCTGGAAAAGAAGGACACACGTCAGGTGGTGACACCGACATCAGGTTGGAAAGCTGCAGGTTCAGATTTCACTCTCAGGAGTAAAAACAAACCACCATCAAGACAGAAAACACACAAAGCCAAGCATCAGCCACAGTAGCAGGAGGCAGGAGCTTTCTGAAGGCAGCGTGTTGTTATTAAATGTGAGCTTACAGCAGCATGTGACAGCAACCTCAGCTTCTTCAGCTGAAGACAGTTTCTCAAATCAAGCTCAGCAGCTCTTTACACTTTGTAACACAGGCCAGCAAATTGAGGCTTCTCATTTTACTAAGATGCTAGGTAACCTTTTGAAGATACACACTTTAAAGGCCAATGAAAGTGACATCTTTCAAAGAGAAAAGTGTATTTAAAGTTATTCATGCACATCAGGCACTCATACCTTAAATCCTGAAATAATGCACATTGTTCCCTCTTCTTGGGGTACCTATCTCTAAAATTTGTTCCAGGGACCAAACAAAAATAGTAATTATTTTATGCTATCAAGACTGTGCAACAATTTCCAAAGTTAATGGTCCTAGAGAGGAACCTGATCTTTAAGTTGTTCCTTTTAATTGTCAAGTTATTTATTGTGTTTATTATTGTTAACTGCCATTCTGTTGACCTTTACATAACTCTGTTACACTGATACTGGGAAAATAATCTCCCACCATTTACTTATTGACAGAAACAAGTTCCCAGACTACCTAGGAGTGATTTGGATGCCTGAAGCACAGGAGCAGAGTGTTATTTTAGATGTGCTAGGATATCCTGCCTGACTTCCAGCTGCATCTCCACAGCCAAACATTCCTCAGGTTCTGCATCTTGTCTAACAACTCCCTAAGGATGTCTCAAATACATAGAGTCATAGAATGGTGAAGGTTGGAAGGGACCTCAGAGATCATCAGGTTCCAGTCTCCCTGCCATAAGCAGGGACACCTCCCACCAGACCAGGCTGCACAAGCCTCATCCAACCTGGCCTTGAACACCTCCAGGGATGGGGCTTCCACAACCTCCCTGGGCAATTCCATTCCAGCACCTTCCTACCCTCATGGTGAAGAATTTCCTCCTGACATTTAGGAATATCTAATATCATAGGGATATCTAAGTCCATGCTGGACACAGTGTTAAACGATGAGCCACATGCAGTGAATACTTCACATGCATCAGGAGCTGCTGTCACTTCTGCCATAGCCAGTATTAGTACACAAACTACAGAAATCTAACCCGTGTGTGTACACAAATCCAGTCAGTTTTCAAGCATATTTGTTAGCACAAAATCCATCACAGATATGAGTCCAAAATACAAATATACATTCTAAATGAAATACTTAGTTTTTCATAGCACTTTTCAGAGTTTCTTTTAGAATGTTATGACATGAATTCATAAATTAAATCATCATGGATCCTGCCAACTACTACCGTATTTCTTTTTATAAATCAACTCATGTTATTGGGTGAAGATGTGCCACTCTTTTAGACTTCAGTTTTGTGTCCAGTTTCAGTGACATATTTCACATGATTTACATTGCTGCCTTTCATACTTGGCTTGATACTCCACTTTTAAGAAAAACATTTGCTTCAGGAGAATACAGGATTTAGTGATTTACCTACTAGTCAATAATTTTAGTTCAACAATTACGACAAAAGGGATATTAGGGCAAGATCTCTATAATAAACTTTTTTGCTAAATGCAGCTGAAGGATATTCAAATTTTACTACCCACACTGACTGTAATTTCACAGTTAAGAGACTATGCTGCTATATTATTGCTCTTACGGGGGACTGCTTTGAACAGCGTAGTGATTATACATTACAATGCTTCTATGTTTGAAGTAATAATTCCATGCAGAGACTTCTAAGCCATGCAAATCAGGCTACAAAATTATCCTTCCAATTGCTTGGGTTATGTGGTGCAGAGGTTTTGTGTGCACGCATCTGTATTAGTTTGTGGGTAGCTGAAGTTTAATCTTGCTTTTGCGCAGTTTCAAAGAGGTGTAAAGTAAAATGGAAATATGAACTCTCATGCAAATCCATTTTAATACCTTCCTTTTAAAAACGACATTGTGTGACTTCTGTTTCAATATGCAGGATGCTTTGAAATACAAATGCATGTTTTTGCCTTTTTTAATCTCCAATTATTTTAAAAGGAAAAAAAAAGAGCGCAAACCTGTACGTGACTGATCTCATTTACAAGTTAGTTTTCAGTAATGACAACAGGCAGCATTATTTTTAGGTTTTTACAGTGCAAATTAAGTCTCTAGTCCTAGCCCTCTGTGGAGAAGGCAAGTTTACATGAGAGCCCACATACGTGCTGCATTCACCAGTTCTTGATGTATACCTCTGTATACAAGGATTCGACAGCCTTCTGGCCTGCCGCATCTGGAACACAGTGCAAAGCTAAGATTAGAGTAACCTAGACTTGGGGAAAGAAGAGAAGACAGGGAAAAAAGAAAGAAGTGTTGCAAACAGTCATAGCTAGATTGCTCAGTTAGCCCCACAAAAAACCAAAAGCATACACAAAGAGTCACCTGCATATTTTCATTGCCCCCACAAGAAATAAAATTGATGATAGGAAGTTTTACTTCAAAGCACGAAGCAGCTCCTGGCTGCAAAAAGTAACTGAGAGCTTAGATTGAGCTGACAGAAACATATATCAATGCCAATGCAAGAGCCAGATTTAAATTGTTCTATTTCAGATTATGGGGGTAATGATATATTCAGCTTATTACAAAACATCCCATAGCCAGAGAGGGAAAACCAGAGCTCCAACACCTGAACTGTAAAGCATTTGGTTTGTTAAATCTGGACGTACTTGGAGACACTGTGACACTGCAGTAACCTTCACTGCTCACACGTTGATGTGCTCTGTGCTGAACACCTAACACAGGTAAATGCAAGTAGGTATGAAATGTGGGCATCCACATGGCTCCAAATACTGAGATTTGTCACAGTGCCTCACTCCAGCAATGCCAGATGGTGTTCACACTACATTTCCAACAGCAAAAACTAATTCATGCAAGCAGAGAACTCTTAGAGAAGTTACTTTAAATCTGAATGTGCATCTACAATAAACTACCAGAAAAGAATGACAAGTCAGTTGTGAGAGTTACTAAAAATAAATTAAGATATTGCCATTTGATTGCAAACTTCAGCAACCTCGCAGGAATTTAAAAGTTTCAGCTTTACTTCCCAACTAGTAGCAGCACAGTGACACATCATACTGAGCTGAGAGGAATTTTTCCAGGTTAGCACTTGCATGATCTACGTGTCCAAGACAACACGATGCACATAAAGTTACATACATGTAAGACTAAGATAAGTGCTCAATTAAAAAGGCAAAATATTTTATGCCAACCTATGAAAGTTCATGCAAAGATGCCACATTACTACAGGACAGGAGAGAGGAGAGGAGAAAGGGAGAAACATCTAGAACTTCATGTGTATAAATAAACATCAACTAATCACATTTTCTCTGAGGTTCAGAATAACATACGGAAGCTGCTGATCTTCCAGGTCCCCGTTGTGCTACAATAGCCCCAGAAATTGCTTTTATCCAGCTGTGCATGTCCTCTGGGCTGTCAGCCTGCAGCAAACAACATGCATTATGTGTCACAAAAATCAACTCTCAAGCTCCTCCAGTGTCCTGCCCACCTGCATAAAACTGACAGCCTTCCCTTGCTTTAGTGGTCTGTTATTTAAAGCCACGGGGACTTGCATTTAACCCAGATATTTCTTCACTGGATTTGCTATTGAATGTATATAGTTATATCAGTCATTGGCAAGACTAAGAGGTTTTATGCTATTTGCATCCTCTAGACTCAAAATTTTACTTCCAGGCAACAAAAAAAAATTGAAGTGCCCACAGAAATTCTGACAGGAGATCTGTTGAACCCTCTGAGCAGACTTTGGCCAGTGACAACTTCTGTACTTGGCAGTTCTTGCTGCACTTTTTCTATGAGGTGTTTACTGAAGATTTATGGTCAAATAAAAATCAGCCTCTGTCAGGGGTCAGCTCTACGTACTCTTGGAACAACACACTCCAACAAAGATGCAACAGATTAACAGTGAATACCAAGAGTGCACATATCTGGGATAAAGACAGATGAAAAGCCAAAGCTGTCTCCTAATTAGCTTGCAGCTTTATTAAACTAGCACATCTACCCAGCATGAAATATCTGCAACTTGTCACTTCATTATGTTCAGTTACAGGACAGCTCATAACTTAGCATCTGGCAGTACTGCCTGTGTTAGGCTATCCAGGCCTTTCTGATCCTACACAAGATACTTCCAATGCTATAAGCATCAGATTCCCACCCATCTGGAGAAAGCAAGTCTTTGTGATGTGCATATCCAGATATTTAAAACGTTCTATGAATGCAGGGAATAAAGTGCATATGGATACATGATACCAAACAGATACTGAAATCTAAATGTTGCTGTTCTTCAAGTAGGTATTTTCATGTGGCAACTAACTTGACTGTGAGACCTCAATTACTGTGCACAAAAATTCAGTACTTCAAAATAAAAGATTTGAGCAGATACTACAAAATCTGAAGACCCAAATACCAACAAAATCACATTGGGATTAATTTATTGCTTTCATACAATACCAACATATATGAGTTGCTGTCATATGGAGCATTTTGTATATGCCTCTTTCTGAAACAGGAAAAGCACATTCTCTCTGAAAATCATGGCACAGTTAAATACAATCTTAAAAGCAAACCAGCTTCTTTGCTTTGACTATGAGAGTCTCCTAGTTTTGCCCAAAGTTAAAAAAAAAACAGAAATTACCTGTACATAAAAGGTTCGAGAAGTTGTTACAATTTCAAAGAGATTGTCTCTCATCATTATATCACTGTAAATGAAACACACAAAGATACTTCAACAGTAAGTACAACTTACTATTTCTGAAAGACTCTATGATGTGCAGAGAACCAAAGCATTTTTTGTCTGAAGAACTCTGCATTTCTTTATCACTCTACTGCTGGGTTTTTTGGTAAACACTGACTAGGAAAAGAAAACCAGCATCTCTCACTCATTTTAGTTTCTCACTTTCATTTACCAGTGGCATGTGTGCTACTACATATACTTTTAATTGGAACATTCTAAACCACATCATGCTAAGTTTAGAAATACGTATTGCTTTAGTAAAATTTCTGTCCAACTTCATATATAGATTCTGTTATATCTTTGCAAAGTATTAGTCCTGAACAGTAGCCTGCTAAAAAAAACTACTAGGGAGTCAATTAATCTCTTAGTATGTTGCCATTTGGTGGGAGGGAAACAGCACAAAGAAGAGGGTTCTCATCTAAATACAGACATTTAATATTATAAGATAATGAGACTTAGAGATTTATATAAGCAGAAGAGAGACTCCTAAAATTGCTGCCTCAAATCAGACAGCTCTAACTCATGATATTCCTTTGTTCCACCCTTGTCCAAAGTATTTAAGTTCTACTGGATGTTACAGGTTTGAAACACACACTAATGCAGAACTCTTAGAACCAGTTTTATGCACAAAACTCCTTGCTGTCCTGTAATTGAAGAGCATTACATGCGCATACATCAAATGAAGTTATTAAAAAGTTCTCCATTGTTTCCACCGAGCAGTCCAGCCATGAAAAAAAACATGTACTACATCCCATGTCACCACATCAGTGCTTCTCTGCTCACCTCTGTTTGCATTCCTGAACTTTATGGACCTCCTTAAGTGGTATAACCCTGAGAGGCTCCTTTTCCTGAAAAAAAATTTAAAAGGCAAGAATATTTCAGTAGAGTATATCTAACAAATAGAATATTAGTCAAAAGCCAGAGGTCAGGACAGTTGACAGCAGCAGACTTCTGTGACACAGCAATCACTTATGTAAAAGATGACATCAACCAAAATTTAATTTGCATTTGCAATTAATCAACCAAACATGGCATTTGCAATGAAGAAGATATGAACTGAAGAGGTAAAAAAACCCAAGACATTAATTCACCTTACCATAATGCAGACAACCACCCCTGCCATCTCCCCTAACTAGATAAGAATATTGAATATGGCTTCAAGCAGCTCATTTCAGTAAAATCATTATTGAATGCTGTAAGATGCTCTGTTAATTGTACTGAGTGACGTGACTTTCAATAAGATCAATTATACCCTATATCCAGTGCAGTGAAAACTAACACAAAAAAATAATAAAATCTGTAAGAGAGCAAATATTCTTAAAGAATGAAAATTGTTATTGTAACAAAAGTGTTAAAATTCTGACAAAGTTTCACACAACAGGGACAAAAGTAAGAACACTCAAACAAATACCTTCACTTTTGCCATGACACGGTGCTGTCATACATTATCTTGTTTCCTGTGGCTGTTGCCATAAACACAAACAGCTATTTATTTCACCTCCTAAGGTGTTGTTTTTTTTAAGCAGTGTTACAGTGGACTTTCAGTTGGCTTCAGCTCACAGACAAAACAAGAGCTGCCTGCCCTGGAAAGACTACTTTCTTTATAATTTCTGCTATATACATTTAAGAGATTTATGTTGTTACAGCAAACAGGAAATGTCACCTAAATATAACCATTCTCAAACCTCAGTTTTCATTAGACCACTTGTCTCTACAGCAGATCAAATGCACACATTTTAAAACTCAGTGTTTTCTGCTATTCTGCCTCTCTCCCCTCCCTGTTCTTCCTAGGTTCACTCATCCATTACAATGGAGCTTCCAAAGTAAGACATCAAACATGAACTGCACAATCACTCCTGGAACAGACACCCACTGCAGGGAACACATCACCTCAGAAACTATAATTTTCCAAGGCTGATATTGCCTGTATACCACTGTGCTCCACCTGAAGACTGGCAAGGGCTCTTCCTCAAACTGCAAAAAGGGTATGAAGCAGAGGGATGGACAGGACACTGACCAACCATAACAATAAAATCCCCTGAGTCTACATATTTTTTAATTTAAAATAACCCAACATTTCTTACATTCTTGAGGGCACAGAACTCAGAAACATTTCTACAGATGCAAACCAACATATCTCTGGTTATCTCAAGATACCCAGTAAGAGCCATTTGAAGTACTGGTGAGCAGGCTGGCTGCCAAGACAAACTAACTTCAAGTAAGAGCCACCCTTGACTGAAGATTGGAGCTACTGGTAACTGAAGTCCAACAGAAAGAGGTTTTTACAGTGTTAGGAGTCTGATGCTACACTAGCTGAATACGACCTCCATGCCACAGCCTTCTTAACCACAAAGACATGACAAAAAAAAATTTCCCTGTTTAACTTGTTTTCCTGTCACTGTGCTACTCTCATTAGGAACAGGAGGTGATTAGGGAAACTGAGATGCCATACATAGCTGAAAGAAATCCTTCACCACTTGCAATCTTCAGAATAGAGCACTCTACTTCTTTTTGTGACTGCAGGAGATACATAAAAGCCTGATAAATACATGGTTAAGCTGCTGCAGGTGTTTTCTTCTTGGCGGACTGTGCTCTGTGAAAGTTTTGCTCTTTCCAGTACAGATTAAATGTCTCTCCAACATGTATGTTTCAGATAAGACAGATCCTAATTGTTCAAGAAATATATATGAAACACAATCAGATTTCCTAACCATGGAATTTTTTGATTAACCACTATAACCCAATAAAAGGACACTCTTAACAGGCTGAGAGAATTGGGGCTGTTAAGTCTGGAGAAGAGAAGGCTCCAGGGAGACCTCAGAGCACCTTCCAGTGCCTGAAGGGGCAACAGGAAAGCTGGAGAAGGGTTTTTTACAGGGGCATGGAGTGATAGGATGAGGGGTTATGGCATTAAATTGGAAGAGGGGAGATTTAGGTTAGACATTAGGAGGAAATTCTTTAGTATGAGAGTGGTGAGACACTGCCACAGGTTGCCCAGAGAAGCTGTGGCTGCACCATCCCTGGAAGTGTTCAAGGTCAGGTTGGATGGGGCTTAGAGCAACTTGGTCTACTGGGAGGTGTCCCTGCCCATGGCAGAGAGGGTTGGAACCTGATGATCTTTAAGGTCCTTTCCAACCCCAAACAGTCTGTGATTCTATGATTCTGTATTTTCTATCTATTCAGCACTCACTTCCCTGATAAGGAGATGACTGACTGCTTTCAGTAAAAAACTGAAGCAAGATCTACTTCCCTGTTGTCTGACAGCTGGTCAATCCCAGTACCTTCCTCAAACTGCAGCAAGGGGATATTAGCCTGAAGGACAGAGGACACTACAAGATTTTATACTGTTCAAAACAGTTAAATTGAAAGGGAGTACGATGAAACACCAAGTGTATGCATTTGTATCATCTTTCCAGCATACTCTCACACAGCAGAAGTCTTCATTGAGTTAGAATTTGCTTGTGAGCAATCTGCACTCAGTTTTTTAAAAACAGAGGGTTTACTGTAGACAACGTTGTGTTATGCTGACAGCTTAACAAAGACAATGATGTAAGATCAAGCTCCTGCTACTGTTGCATTCCCTTATTAAAAGTAAAGCAGAAGTTCTCTTAAAAAAGAGCCTGAAATTTGGCTTCTTGACATTTTGCCTCTTAGTTGGCTGCTAAACTCAGTTTTCCTGGATCTATAATATCGTACAACTCAAGAGTTTATTCCTCATATGCAGCTGTTCTCATGTTTAGTAAGTCTGGGATTTCTTACTGGGAAAAACAGACTGCAGTACAAGCCACTTCATTTTTACACAAAGCCTGAAGGCACTTAGCATTTGGTCAAAATTGGTCAAAAGGTTCAAGAGTGGTTAAGTGGATAGCAAAGATCATGAAACCAAAACAAACTTAAAATGTTGCTTATGAACAGCAGATTTCTTGGCCTGTCTTGGCTGCCCTTGTGAAGGAAGTGTATAGGAAAAGATCCCATCAGTTGTATGACAAAACACCCCATAATCCTAACTTTAAACTCTGAACTGCAAGGTTACAGTTCTGTCTCTGCACATTATCATCAGCTGTTTCAGAAACATAATTACATGCAAGTACAAAGTGACTTAAGTTATCAGACATAAATATCAGGGTGACTGCAGAATCTATCCTATTACTCCAGTGCCCTGCAGCCAGGTTCCCAAACAGAAGACAGAAGTCCAGCTTGAGTGACACTAGTAATCTTTTGCTCTTCCCAATCAGGAGAAGTTACTACAGTTCAGAGCTAAGAGTTCAGGATCAGCATAGCACCCTCATGTTTTCTTGCAACTATCAGTGGAAAATAACACACTTTTGGAAACTTACCAGTTCAGACTTGAAATATCCTATTGTGTTTTCATCTAACTGAAAGTATCTTCTCTTCCAGTTCTTCATCTGTTAAAAGAAAAGAAATATGGATGCATTTTTTATATATGCACAAACATACTTACATGTTATATATTAGTTATATATTTATAGAATTATAGTTACAATTCTACTCTGACATTCTCTAATTGCTATTTATAATTGTCCATCTACCATATTTTTAATATATATTACATATTTATTTATATGTCTGGTGTATATATATATGTGTTTTAATGTAGTGCCTCCAAATAATTCAGCAAGACTCAACCCAACCATCTTTCTTGGAAAACTGCAAAAATTTAAAAATCTGGAAGCTATTGTTTTTTATTTTAAGAACTTTTCAACCATCTCCACTGAAACTGTAGCAACTCAACAACACAAATACCCTGCAAGAAATGTTAAAAGACAGTGCAGTTAAGGTTTCCAGTTCTTTTAAAAAAAGGCATGTTACAAAAAGAAGCTTCATAATCCAAGATCAAATGAACCTGAGAAGTCACAAAGTACATGTATCTTGCTTACTCTGAACTATCTGTTCTCTCTTTTAGCCAGGCAACATGTGAATAGCTCCACTTGTATTAATCAGTCTGCCAAGTTGTCCAATTCTTCCTCTGAACTGAAAAAAATCACTTTTTTCTAAACATTTTGGTGAATTAAAAAGCATGCAGGCATTGAACTTCTGCCTTAATTTAGATACTTCTAGTAAGTGCAATAAAGATCTTTACAGAACTGTAGAACAGAACTCCTAACTAATTCACTAACCAGAATGTGAAAGTCTGTGCACACAACTTTTCCTCTACAAAACAGCTCCAACCATGTAACACTGATGCAAGTTATGAAAAGAACCAACACAGACACACAAATTACATGCTACTGAAGAGTCAGTTTTATCTTTAGCCATCCTTAACCTTGTCAGTAGTGCTGAAGTTATTAGTAATTTTATTTTTTTTTGTTTAATAATCTACCTGAGAAGTACAACTACCATCTTAAGATCTTTGCTCTTCATTAGTGAAACAAACTGATCTCAAATACTTACCACTGCTCCTTGTTTTACACAGTAGCCAGCTTTGATAATAGCATTATCTGGGGGATGCTTAGCAGTAAAATAATGAAGGTGACTTTGTGACCGTTTCAAATAATTCCTATCGCTCCCTTCACTGCACTCACTGATTTCTTCTTTCTAGAAAAAAGCAGGAAAGTTCAGAATATTCTGTTTTTTCAAAAGGTAAAAGAATAACTATACTAGTTAGAATAGGGAATAACTGGATCATCCCATGTTCACAAACCCCATTTCCAATTTGTCTGAAAGGACAAAATGTTTCAACTTATTTCTAGAGGCAACTAATGAGACTCCCCAAGGACTCTGAGTACTTACAAGCTCCATTTAGAAACTACACTAAGAAAGTGCTGAATATTCTCAAACAATATGTACAGACACTCAATGAAGAACGTTAGACCTAAAAAGAAGATATATGCATGTATTTAGTGCAAACTCTTAGCGTGGCTTTTAGGGCAAAACACCGGACGTAGCTACAGAAAAGAAAAAACTGTTTCTAGCATTGTAAGACACATCAGAATTCACTACATTTTTAAACGCAGTTCAGATATATACATGTCATTTACATCCAGCAGCAGATACAGGTCTGTATCTTTAATGCTGCATAGATTCTTCTTCCATGAGCTTGTCCAGTCTCTAAAACTCAGAAAAGTTTCTTGCATCCATGTCCCCTTTCATGAGTACCTCATGTTTCGTTACTCACTGAGAGAACTCATTCCCTTTGTTTCACTTGGTTGCACTATCAGCTTTGTTTAAAAGCCCATAGGTCTCACAGTGGAAAAGAAAGTTTACAGCATCCACTTCTGCCAGTCACGGTTCTGTAGAGCTCCTGCACCTTGCAGTTATTTCTTCTGCACACAGCAGAATGCTAGCCCACCCATATGAAGATCATCTCACATGGACCAATCATCCTCAAAACCTTTCTCTGAGCCTTTCTAGATCTAGTTTTTAAGAGGAAAACCAAACCTGGATTCCAAGTCAAAGACAGAACTTATACAGCAAAGATATTTTCTGGTTTGCTCCCAAGTGTAAACTCCTCTGAGCAAGGGGAGAAGCTGACAGCTATATTGTGACACAGAACCTATCGTCCCTCACCTGTCAAACAACAAAGCTTCCTCTAACAGACAATACCACGTTTGTTCTAAGGGTATTACCTGGGTAGGTGTAATGATAGGAACACCACCAACTATTTCTGTCCTGTAAGACACTTGCTTCTTTCCAGCTGGGCTTTCAGCTTGGCGATTTGCATTATCCATTTGACACAGAGGATCAGACTGCTTTGGTACCTGAAAGTGAAAGATGATAATGAACATAAAGAATTTTATGAAGACATTAATTAAAAAGCCCTAATTCATTATTCTAGCATTTTTTATTTGTCTTCAGGATTTAACAAATGCTAATTAGTAAAATTTGTAAAATGAAAGTTTGTTGCAATGGCTACTCTTAAGTTCTCAGAAGAAAACTGGTGCCAAGAAAGACATTTCACCAGGTGTCTCAATCTGAAAAACCAACTCCCCGCTTTGCCATAAGTGCTATACTGGATCTTCAAGAAGCACTGCTAACTTGCTGAAGAACTAGTTCCTCATTTTTCACATCCTTTCAGTTTTAGTAAGAAGTGCTTTAGACTGGAGATGCCCCACTGCCTGTGGAGCAAGCACAGGAGGGCCATGAACACAAAGCTACAGTATTGAGACTTTTGTCAAACAGGATGCCCAACCAGCATGGCATTTACATGGCATTCCAGTCCCTGGCACGAAGACTGTGTGCGCTGCCTCCATCAATCCTACTTACACTGCTGAATTCTGTCCACAATGACCCCACCTATTTCTATCATTACCTATCAGATAATTATCTCAAGTGTGGAACTAAAGCAATCAAAACACCAAGGCAATTTAATTTCCCCAGTAAGTGTCTTGAGCTTAAATGTTTTACTCAAATTTGTGCAAGAAGTAAACATCTGTAAGCTAAGACATTTTCATTTCATTTTCATTTTCCTTTCACCCCTAACATTAAACCAGTAAATCTGAAGTGACTTTAACAAGAAGAGATCAAGAGTTTCATACCAAAATATCCTAGTCACCAACCTATTGGATATTTACACAGGACACGCAAATTCCTTCTGAAAGAAGGGACACCCAAACTGTCTCTACACAGCGTGTTACCATGCAAGACTTTGGCACATTCACAACTGGAAATTGAACTGACACAGACACAAACAAAGCTACTTTATAGTCTGCTGCAATTCTAGTTCTATGCCCAGCACCGCTTCATTTACAAACAAACTGCCTGCAAAGAAGCACAAAGAGTCCTGAGAGCACAAACGCCAGGGGCTGGTAGCTGCAGCTGTATTGGGTAAGTGCTTCAGCTGTCAAACTCCTTCTTAAAAATGTTACAGATCAAACCCACAACCACCTTCTCATATGAGTGCATTTTCAAACAGTACTCATAAATAGGCACACAATGTGCCAGGCTGCAAAGGTCCAGAGCTATTTTGAAATTATCAGCACTCGGAGGACTAAAAAAATGAGACGAATTTTGGAGGGCAACATTCCACAGCAAATAAGGCTCATATGAAAATTAAATAATACTGATTATTTTATTAAATAACTGGCCATAATAAATAACCTCTGAGCAGATTACCAGTTCAAAGGCTTGGTCTTTCAAAGACAAAAAGTACTAATAATTTCACCAGCCATTTAGAATGCAAGTTGAACACAGGATAAACAGCTTTCAGACTCCATTCTAATTTGATACAATTAATTCTTTATTCACTCAATTCCTTGAACTGGAAGCAATTCAAGCATGGCTGTGGTGTGTCCTCCTTACAAAAAAACCAAGTGAGAAAGCTTTGTGGTTTTGGTTCATTTATTTATTATTAGTAGCAATGTTTCCAAAGAAATGGCTAGGTTAAAACAATACAAGCAACTCATGGAAACCTCTTCAGGTAACCTAAAACTGAGAAAATTACTGACAACAAATACAAATGACCACCCTCATGCCCAGAACCCCTCCTTTGTTATGGTATGCTCTCAAAACAAGTTCATGTCACCACTTCCCCAAAACTGGACAGAAAAAACCCTTTAACTTCTGCCTCCTGAAAAAAAACTGAGGTAATGCATTTTTCTATCACGTGATAACAAGCTGTCCTTGTTAAAGTAATTTAACACTTATCAAAAGAATGCATTCATGTTTCCTTGAATGGATGTTACTTGAAATCAGGAGAGAGCCTTTGGAACAAGTCATGATGTGTTTGCTCCTTATTTTAGTGATACTTAGAGAAACTTTTTGCACCAGGCAAATGTATGTGCATCTTTTCACTGCTTGCAAGTGTCTTCTGGATGTTTCAATGAATAGCAAATGTATGTGGGTCATTTTAAATTATTAGAGATGATCATCTGCTTTCATGAAAAAGATAATCATATTTTTGTCTAATTTCCAAAGCAAAAAGTAAAATTAACTCATTTTTAGGGGAAATTCTGCACAGTTTCTCCAAGTTTTGGACATCCAAGCTGAGACTTTTTGTAAAGATAAAAAGACTATTCTCGCATAAAAAATGGCAGCAAAGTTACATAGAAGAACCATTTGAAAGAACTGGTAAATACCAACTCAACCACTTACTGTGATTTTGGTAGCTTTGTTCAGAACATTAACCCATTCAACAAGGTCCTGCTGATCATTGGCTTGTAGAAAGTATTTTCTCATCCCTGCATTCATAACTGTTAAAAACCATTATGAAAAGTTAACAATACTGAAATTTAAGAGCAAACTTAATACCATGATAAAAATAATGGATATGGAAAAAATCCAGTTCAAGTATTTAAGATCTCTGCTGTACTTCTTTTTAGAAAGTCATCTTAAGATACATACATCCACTTGACAGGCTGACTTTATTCTAAAAAACCTTTTTGTTTTTAAAGCTCTCCACTTAAATGGTATCAGACAGAATCTGTTAAATTATTTTTATTACATGGAAATACAGATTTGAATTTTATCAGAGTTTTCTACAGCTACTTGTCTCATTTTCCCTAAGCACTAGTTTTATACTGGGGGACTACTTCAGTTTCCTTTTAATCCTTTTTAATCTGTTACCCTTTGCAACAAACTCATTTGTGTCACTGATCATTTTTTTTTAATTTGTTGAAAAATCAGTATTGATTACTAAGCTTATGACACCCAGGACCAAACAAATTTCAAATAGCCAGAAAATAAACTTTACCTTGGTGACTTGGTTAAGAAAGCATTATTTTTTGTAAATCTATATATCTACCTCGCAAAAATCTAGCATAGCTTTATCCAAAAAGGACAAATATATTTCTGTGTAACAGGAAAAAAAAAAGAAGTCACAGCTATTTTTCCTCACAATCTCTAAAAACTTATCCTACAATTAGTTTCAAGGTGAACAGTGACTAAGACCTTTCCAGAACTGAGACATTCAGCTAAAGTTTGAACAGATTTTGCTGCTCTACCTGTAACATAACAGTTCTTCAGCTCATTACTAACAGTAAACATCTGCCATAAATAGGTAATTTTGACTCTTCTGTCATCTTTCTCCCCAAAGTGAATGGTTCAAAGCAAACATTATTAGATGCAAATATAAATTCAAAATACGGAATGATGTATACAGTATGATGAGCTGACTGAAACAGCAACTTCTGCTATTTAAATAGAAAGACAAAAGATGTATTTTTTTCCTTTAAAAAGTATCAAAAACACTTTCATAACCAGAAATATTAGAAGCTTTGAGCAGCATCTTAGTGGTCACTGACAAGAGCCACTTTACAAGTGATGGTGACAAACACTTTCATACACATGTGCAGAGGAATCTGCAGGTGGCACTAAACTGACACACCAGGTGCCACTCCAGAATCCCTGGAGCTTTTCATATGGGGTGAATCACCCAGTGTTTCATGAGCTCCAAGACACAGACTGCACATGTCCAGTGGAGCTGCCTTCTTTGGGCCTGTATAACACCACACGTGGCAAAGGACACCTCAACTGTCACAAAACCTCCAGGCTGCATTTCTAAAACCCTAAGGGGAATGCAGCTGTAAAGAATGGGTATTCATAAACACAGAAGAATCTGATTACAGTCTCTACATGTACTACTGTGAATGTGAAAAAAATCTGGAACAATCGTAAATTTTGGATAAATTACTTTAAAAATCTTTAAAAAGACCTTAAGGGTCTTTTTTGATTATCTAAAGCTTTATTCAAGTTTTAAAAAGTTTAAGTACCAATAAACCTGGCAGGTATTCCAAACAAATTTTTTCTTTGGCTCAGCAATAGAGGCTGAAATTTATCATTAAGAGGATTGGCTGACAGCTTTTTTAGATCAATTAAATCAACTCTTCTACCAGTTATACAGATGTAACATAATTAAATTATTTGCCTTCATAGCTGACAGGCATGCCATGTTTCTGAAAACACCCAACATTTTTTATTACCTTGTTAATGCCTCAAAAATTTCAAACATCTGAAAAACAGCTCCTACCTACTCCTCATCAAGCTGCAATATGAAAAGCCATAAAACACCTTATGAAGAAGCTGTATTTCCCTCACATTAAACAGTACAATACAAGGCATTTTTAAAAAATACACCATCAGGTCTATCTAGTAACTGAATTGCAGAACATTATCTTGGATTCAAACTTCTGAAGAAAGTACTTGATGCACCTGCAGCATGTAGGGACTTACCAAAACAGAATTCTGCCTTTGGCCTCAGCTTAGTTGCATCACTAACCTAGTAGGGAAATGAAGATTATAAATGCCACTGTGCACACAAAAGAAACAACAGATATCACAGTATTTTTCTCTCTCTTTCAAGTGGCTAAATTTGAAGATGAGCAGCATAGCAAGATTGTAAAGAATAAAGATATAGAGATATAATTACAAAATGCTACATAAAATTTAGCCGAAGATGTGCAATGTATGGTAAGAAGGCAACTTAAACCGTATGTTCTGATGCCTTAAGGATTCATTTCCAAACACTGAAAACAAGACTTCTACTTGCATTTTGAAGTTCTGCATCTCAACTAAACTACAAATTCAAGGACATTTCATACTGTCAGGGACATTGGAGGTATTTTGGTTCATTAAAACTTTTCTTCAGGAGTCTCTGAAGTGTGTCTGTGTTGTGAGAGGAGAGAAGCAGGTGTCCTGTTTTCCTGTTTAGAGAGGCACTGCCAACCTTCACATTATAAAGCACTTCTGTCAAGGGTGGGGGAGAAGGCAAAGCAGTCCCTCATATCAAAACTTAGGTTTTTTTATTTGCCAGAAACACAAAACACACACTACATGACAAGAACACCCATGGAAAGGTAAACAGAGCCTCCACTTGAGCTGCCTCCAAAGCTGCACACAGGTGCAAAGGCACAGGTCACCACTCCTGCTCCCATTGAAACTGAGACACAAGATTTCAGATTCCTTAAGATGACAATTGTGAGTTTGGGGCACAGTAAGCACAGAAGGAACAAAAAACAGGAAGGACAAAAGTAGGTCTCCACAGATATGTCTGTACTTCAATAGCCAGCAATCATACCTTTTACAAGAATTGCAACAAAACCCACCAGAACAAGGAAGGTGGGAAAGTACAGTATGACAACAAGGAAAGCAAAGGAAAAATTAGAAACCAGCAGAAGAGAAGGTAAATTGTTTTTCTCCACTTATTTGTTAATGCAGCATCTGCTGCAAGTTTAACAATAGAGACTTTCTGAGTTCAGTTTTATTCAGACGTATTTGGAAGGGTGTATATACAGAGTGTAATGAACTACGTATTTCCTAGAAATGTTTATGTTCTTGCACACAATCACCCCAAAAGACTTATCTTCCACCTCACAAAGGGTCTCTTTTATCCAAGACCAACTGGAATTAAAATACTCAAAGAACTGAAAAATACAGTTCAGAAATATTCATTTTATGCAGAACAGAATTGCCATTTGAAATCACAGAACAAACCTAGGCAACACAGCTATTAGTCTGCTCCTTTTCTAGCCTGATACTATTGCAGTGCTGGCAACACTTCTCTAGAAGTCAGGAGCAGCACACAAGCAAAATGCTTTCCATGTACTACATGGGGCATTTAATATTGTCTACAGTTGAGGGCTCCAGAAGCAGTAATCAGTCGTTATGGCCAAAAATTTAGCAACAAGTGTCTTACATATTATCTTACCTTTGAAATATAGGTAAGTTTAATGACTCCAACAGGTGGGGATCCTGAGGGAAGGTTCTGAAACAAATCATATGTTACAAATCACAGTCAGTGTTTACACATAAAAAGCTAATAATACCACAGACAAAAAGAAAACCCTAGGTGTTTGTATAGACAATACACAATGTATGCTTGAAACAGGATCTAAACTACTTGTTTATTATACACACATCTGTTAATCAACTAAAAACAGAAAGACTGCTAGGAACAATACAAATAGTAATTGTTTCAGAGGTTCATGTATTTTCCTAGAGGAAAAGGATTCTTGCAGTTCTGCATCCAGGAAATCCGGAGAGAACACTTTTTCCTTAACAGATGTTGGAGTCTTATGTATTTTGAGCATGGCAGGCGGAAGGGACAAGAAGGGACAAGAAGTGACATTCATACATTATGGCAGATACTTCAAAAGGCCATTTCACATATTTTCCAAAACAGATTGAAAAATCAGTCTTATCATTTAATATAAAAGTTATTTCAGGGAGAGATCGTGGTACTTCCTATAGTTGCAGTTAATAGATCTACAACTCAGAAAGGAGTTGTCTGTTGGCTATATACATCCATGTATGTATATATATACATATACACTAGTCTTAACATTTACACTACTATTCACCATCAGCTAATAACCAAGAAATACAACAGATAAAGAAGTGAGCACCACAAACCACGGTTACCTTCATTATTAACTGTTTCTGACAAAATGGGCTTTGTAATTTTTTTTCCTTTAAATAGAGCACCGTTTTCCATCTACTTTTTTCCATTGCAATTTTTACTTTCAAAAGGACTCCTTATGTTACAGTATCATTCTTCCCACTACAGGCCTCCCTGGAGACCCTAAGAGTGGTTCTGCATCTGCTTCCTGGGCCTCTCCATTATTTCATAGTGCCTTATGAACTTCTGCATCACAAAAAGGAGCCCAATGCTACCCACATACTCAGAAAGACAGACAAATAATTGGATTATATTCCATTCATATTTCAAAGGTAAGAACTAGGTCAGGTTTACTATAGACAGGTAAGACTGAAATAATAAAAAAGTCATCTCATTCTGCCCAAATAAAACATTTTAAGTTTTGCTTTATCAGAACGATTTTGATCCCAGCATACACCAGTTTTATGTTCTTTATTAAGATAATAAAGTGTGGTGAATGGTGGCTTAAAAACACTGTTTCTTTGAACAGGTGAACTGATTTTCACAGACACAAATAGAGAACTTCTATCAGCAACAAAGGGCCCAGTGAAATTCTACACAAACCATAGACTCATCCTACGTGAAGAATTTAATCCCTTGAAGGATTAAGAATGGTCTCCACATAGTGACTCTACAAAAGCTCTGTAGTTCTTCAAAACCAAAGCAGCAATGGAAGAAAAAAATCAACAAGATTCAACTTTATCATTAAAAAATAAAGATAAGTTTAAACTAAAAACTTTAAAAGGTATGCACTGCAAGTATCATTAGTCTTAAAACTTTTGATGAACAGCAATTTCTCTGGCAATTCAAGTTTCTGCTCAGGTTGTATCACAGGAGAAATTGAAGAAAAGAACTGCTTCTTATCACTCATTGAGATCAAACATTGTAAGTCTCTTGTTATTTTTTTTTAACTCCTCAGTAAGAATTCCTGAATGCTTCAGTCACAAGTCACATTCATTGAACTAGACATTGTTTAATTTTTTTTTTCCATTTGTTCCTTTGAACAGCAGACCTCAGCATTTGAACTGTGGCCTTCCTGACAGAATGGTATACAAGCAGTCTTCTGGCAGACAGTTGTCAGCTGACCTAGATCCTACTCTTCCACTGTCTGTTTCCAAACCCATAGCAATTATCTGTCCTCCCCTCAGCTAGAAAACACACTGATACACATACATTGTAAAAGTAGCTTTCACAGACAGGATGCTGTCCATCAGGATGGATACAAGCTTTCCTCACTCATAGATCCTTCACACTGTATTGAAATTTCAAGTATCATTAGAAATTGCTTCTCAATGACTGATTCTGTTGAGGTAAAGTAATAGGAGACAGCTGACTCATGCAGTGCAAGAACAACTCCTACTTCCACATAAGCTTAAAGGTGAATCAAAAGATTTGTGCAGTGAAGCTAGCTGTGATTGGGCTCCTCTGGTTGTATTATACAGCATTACCCAGCACCTGTAAGAACCTGCAGTGCTTGCTCAAAGCAACTAATAAAAAATGAATACAACACATTAATATAACCCATGACTGATTTATATGTGGGGATCAAATTCAGATTCCTTCATGATCCCTAAATCTCCTGTCAAAACTTAAGATTCTGCATGTTGGCAACTCATTCCTGTTCAAGTTGGTTTTAATATTTTACTATTAAATGCAACTGGTAACATTTATAGAAAGATGAACTATTTTTTTTTAATAGACTGCATATATTGGCAGAGAAAAAACACTAAGCTACACAAGTGAAATAATTTTATAAATCAATTTTTTTCCCCTAGCTTCCAGGTCCATAAGCTAAGATGACACCCCATTTTTCTTACATAAATTTGTTTTAAAAATCTGAAAAACTGGAAACTGATAGAAGACAGGAAACTACTGCCAAGAACATCTCACCTGTGGGTTATCCATGTACCAGACCAGACTGTCCTCTCGTGTGTCCAGAATGAAATACCGCCGCAGAAATTTCCCACTATTCTCATTTTCTTCAATATCTAGGAAACCACAAATGCGATTCTGACGATCCACATAAGGCATTTCTGACCCTGAACATCACACTGAAAAACAAAAAGCACAGAAGTGAAGCCAAGTTCCTCGTTACTAATTTTAAGACTGTTCTGTGTCTACCCGTGACATTTTCAGAAGTTTCAACTAGTGGCTTCAAGAAGTTTCTACAGAAGAATAAGCGAAGCATAGCTGTTTCCCCCCCACTACCACTGAATTTTAGACAGGTCTTTCTTACTCCTTTGAAGCATGTACTTAAAATACTTAACTCCCCAAGTGCAAAGATATAAGTGGCAAACAGCAGATGAGCATCAAGATTAACTTTTACAAGATCACCGCAGAATAAGCAAAGATTCTCCTTCACAAAATGAAGTTGAGGTAACACTAGGTTTACACTTCCTTCTTTGACATTGCCTTTCATGGTCAAGAAAGGATCATTCTCAGCAGCTCTGCTGTCCAACCCGATTTTTTCATATTTTGTTTAAGCAAATTCAACAAAAAGACTCTGAAGAAACATCGTTTGTATTTTTCTTCTCCCCTAGAAAAAGAACTTCATGTCTAAACACAGACATTTTTTCATCCTTCAACAGCCAAGGTGGAATTGTGTGCACAGCAACAGAGATGTGAACACAGTTGTTAGTCCAAAACTGAAATCCTCAGTAAACCTGTGGTACTAAGTTGGAAGGTGGTAGGCTTATTATTATCATTATTTTGGGGTTGAGTTTTTTGGCCTTTTTTACTTTTGCTTTAAAAAACAAATAAAAATCTGTACAGTTGACCACCAATTCCCATTTTACCTGCATGACCTTTTAGGGGTCTGTCTTACTGAGGCTATTGCATCATTATTTTTTTTTGCCTTCTTTTATTTTACAAGACAGACATTTTTAATTAAGAGGTGGCCTTGTAAGAGGAAAGAAATTTGCATACTCCTCTAAAAATGGCAATAAACCAACATTTAAATATGCTAAAAATCAGGTTGATGCCAGTCTTTCCCAGAGCAGGAGAGAAACAGCTCAGTCCTCGACACGTTTTGGTACAAAACTCAAAAATAGTACATATACAAAAATATTAAAATGAGATATAGAAAGTTTAAGCACTTCATGCTGTTCCTAAAATCCTCCAGCTTTCACTGTGTAATAATAAAATTAATATTTCTTTATTTTTTTACATTTATGTCCTTGCTCAAAGTGATTTGATTTAAATATAGCTATATACATGCACAACGAGGCAGACACTTGAAAACTATCCATAGCTAGCTATAGTTTCACCACAATAAAACATGATATATAGTTAAGTATTTATTTGAGGGCATCAGATACACAGAGAAGCATGTATTTATTTGGGGGGATCAGATATACCAATGTAGACATATGCTTTGTATTTACAACTGTCCTTTTATATGTCTAATTAAAATACTAGTCAATTTTACTTCAACAATTTTGAGAAACAGCTTTAAAAAAATCTTTTATCATTATTCTGATACCATATTAGAAGAATTTCTAGTAAACAGTTTTAAGTCATTTAATTCAATCTGCAAAATAACTAACTTTTTTTTTTTGCCCAACACCAAAGTAATCTCTTGGTGCTGACCCAAGTCTGACACATTAAGTCTGGCACCAGGAAGCAGATCTAAAACTCAATTCAGCACATTCTGCAGAAAGCTGAAAAGACTGCAGTATCACAGTGATGACAGGCTACTGAAAACAGTCCTTTAAATATAAGCTATTCATTTCTGAAGTTATATGCATATTTGTGTATAACAAAGTTAACATGCTTCTGTTTGAGACACAAGACATTGTCTATATAGCTGCTAAGACATGGAGCCGGTATAAGGCTTACATTAAGAGCTTGACTGATTTGTTTTCTCACCCTCCAGAAGGTAAAAGACTCTCCATATTTAAGGTATGCAAAGATGGTTTAAAACTTCAAAGGAATATATTTGTTCATCAATAAAGTAACAAAATTTACTATGGTAATCTAAATTTTACGAGTGTGCTCTTCACAATTTAGGTGTCACAGATCTAAGACCAGTTCTGTAACAGCGTTCTAAGTAATAGCAAAAACAAGCACTTCAGCACTCTTAAGACAACATCACAATCGCAACAAACATCCATCAGAAATTCACATGCTGGCTCTTGGGATCACTTTGCACTAAAGCAACATCTCATTATAAACACTCTTGTAGCTAGGGGCAAGCTTCAGGGTAGCTATCCTCTAAATTATACCTTTAAGCAGGCAGAGCTTGGCATCACATATTGTTTTTACTTAAATGAATAAAAAATATTGTCATTTACCAGTCTTGTCCTCAATTGTGCCAGGTGGCCGCTCAACAAAATAAGCAGCACTTCTAGGACACAATATCAACAGTTTATGAAGCCCAGAAAAACCTTGTGCCTAAAAAAAGCTAATATGGGTGGCTGGTTTCCTGTCTGAGAAGGCTTAAAGCTGCGTCCTCTGCAGATGTGAAGAAAATGAAACAAGGAAAACTTGTATTTGAAACAAGATACAAATTGATTAAGAATCCTGGAATAAAACCAACAGAATGTTAAAACTTCTATCTTCAAAAAGGCCTTTATTAAAGAAAAAGGGAGGAGACTCTTAATACTCCATTATGAGTGTACAGTTTGATAAAGCGGAACCACTCCGGTACTTCAGGGGTTTTTTTCTATGTTGAAAGACAATTTAGAAGCTTTACCTTATTCATCATTAACAAATTTTCTAAGAAAAAAAGCCCATAAATTCTTACAGATTTTCTTTTTCAAATACTACTAGCTAATTTCTAGCAAAATAATGCTATGTGCAGTTCCTCTGTCCTCTGATGAAAACACAGGATAAACTATTACCAATTTGAAAACTTAACAGCAGTTATACAACTTTTCTTCAGATTAGTTTGAAATTCCTCATGGGATTACTGACATCTCTCAGACAGATGGTCTTAAAGAGTAAGAGATTAAAAAAATCCCTTCAACGTTATAATAAAACTGAAACCAAATACAAAATCAGGCAGTAGTTTTCCAGTTTTAAAAGTCTGCTTCCATTATCTTATACCTTGGCAAGATTCCACCATAAATTAATACCAATTCTATTCAGCTTTCATTAACAAACCACAATTTGCAGCCCATATAAAAAAGTCAATTTGTCTTTCTTCCAGTTACTAAAGTAAATGAACACACATGACAAAACCCACCATGACACCTTTCCTGGCAACTCTAGACTGACCAAAAAAGTAACAAAGACAGAATTACCACATTACTTCTAAAGATTAATAAGAGAAATTGCGGAACTCCAGCATTAATCCTTCAGCATAGGAAAACTGGCTGGAAGACCATCAGTCTAACAATTCACCACAACTTCAAAGTGTCCTCAGAATATGGTTCCCGCCTTACATATACATTATTTCTTTTTCATTAACTTATTCTTTTGGATAATCATAAACCAAAAAAAATTTGAATAAAACAAGAGCCTGTATATATTTTACAGTTTTTATCACATGTACAACTAGCAATCTTCTGCAACAGAATATGCATCACAGAACAGTGCAATAACTCTTCTGCCCACTTCTAGAATCAAACATTATGAAAATATTATGAGTTCCAAAAGAGAGAACAGCTGAAGATATTAAACCTATAACAGATGGCATACAAGTTTATTCTATTCTGCTCTCCCTCTCTGGAATAATCAGGGGGAGCAGGGGAGAAAGGAAACATGGGTACAGACACAGTGCTACTTCAGAAAAATATCCCTGTGGCCCCTCTCCTCTTGGTTCTCACCATAATCCACCAGAAGCTACAATATTTTTGAAACATCATTTTGTGGTGTATACTGACACTCGCATGCAAGAATTCAGAAAACTCTCAGCTCCTCAAAATTCCTTCTTGGAGGATGGTATTATAATCCAAACAGGACAACTCACTTATTTTTGAAGTCTTAGATCCCTCTTTCCAGTGGCAGTGTACTAATTTAAGTAGGTACATACCTTAACAACCCAGCTTCTCTCAGATTTCCCCTCTCACTGCTCTTTTCCTCCAGGCTACACCATATACCAACATTCCTCATCATTTATATCACAAACTGAAGTCTGCCTGGCCTCCTGGGCACCACTATAAATAAAAATCACAGATCACCTTCTCCCGGTCTGTAACTATAAATGCATGACTGCACAACTAGAACCTGCAGTGGCACACAAGCATCTCATTTCACCCTTTTTAACAGAGACTGCTTGAACTCTCCTACGTTAATTGCTATTTTTAGTTTCACACCAGCACCTGTTCTTAGCTTACCTCCTTTACAGTGGGGCTGCAGACTCCATATCTTCCAAGTACAAAATCTATACCAGACTACTAAAGTAAAACTTCCATGGCCCAATCTCTCTTTTCACAGCTAATGCTTGACTTCCAAATGCTTGATTTCCACAAGCAGGCATAAACCATGGACCACTGGCTGACTAGAGAAATCAAAATTTTGTATGAACAAAAAGGCTGTGCAAGAGGCCTTGCACTATCCACACGAAAGCTTAAGAAATACATCAAGATGAGCACTACTCCTTAATGCCTTTTAGCTTTATTTTACATGTGTTCTCCCAAGCTTTGAGTATAATTTTTTTATTACTTTATTTCTTTAACTTACAGTAACAGTTCTGTTTCCTGCTCTATTAGCATATGGACATTATAAACTTTGGATTTAACTTATCACAGGAGATGACTTTGGGGTTCTTTTCCTATCAGCTAAGAAGATTAAGGCACATACATTACCAATTACTCATCTCTGAAAAGATGAACAACATTCATAAAACTATACTAGGTAAATTCAAACTGATGCTATGAGTCACGCTGGTTCTTCCTTCCCACTCCTTCTTAAGGTCTACTATTTGCACCAGCTCCACCACTGCAAAGGGAAGGTGAGCAGCATCCCCAGCAGTCTCCAGTCCTTACTGCAGTTCCAGGGACAGATTCATTATCACGTGCTCTTGGCTTTTCCCTAGACAATTACTCACAGCCCATAAATCAGCTACTGTCCAGTTGGTCATCTCTTTTACTGGCCATTTACT